GTAAAATTTTGAGTAAATAGCAATTGTTTTCAAGAAGAATTTGGTACAAGTGATCGTCAGGAAGAGTTAATGATTTGCATCTAAGAAGAACAAACTTACAGAATTATATATAGTAAAGTAAAATAGATAGAAGGAATAGATTGATTTTATATATGTAAGGATATATATTTTGGGCTTTTGCTTTATAATATACAAAAAACTATTCTAATAATAGAGCATTTTGTTTTATACAAAGTCTTTTTAGACTATCAATAATATTAAGCTCCAATAAAATAGTATATTTCCTGTTCTGTAATTAAGTGTAATAGTAATAAAAAGGTTTTGTCAAGCAATTTTACTATATAAACTACTCCCTCTGAATTCTAGCTCTGACCCTAACCCTAATATAAATGAACTTTAAAAAATTTTTGCTGTATCACTACAAACCAAATTTCAAGATTAGGCAAAGCATAACATGACTAAGAAAATTTAAAACAAACATTTATTTTGTCAAAAATTGCTTACTTTCCAAAAATCAGCATAAGAAATCACCTTTAATGCTCTAATAAAAGTTTTCATTAAACAATTTTACTATGAAACTACTCTCCTCTGATTCCTAATACTAATCCTAACCTTAATATAAACAAACTTTGCTATACCGCTATGAATCATATTTCAAGATCAAGTAAAAAGTAACACAGTCAAAAAAATTAAAATAAACATCTGTTTTGTCAAAAATCATTTACATCTCAAAAATCAGTATAAGAAATGCTCTAATAAAAAGTTTCGTCAAGCAATTTTCTATATAAACTACTTCTCTCTGATTCTCAACTTTGGCCCTAACTCTATCATAAATGAACTTTAAAAAATTTTTGCTATACTACTACGAATCAGATTTTAAAATCAGTGAAGCATTATATGATCATGAAAATTCAAAACAAATATTCATTTTGTCAAAATTGCTTATCTCCCAAAATCATTATAAGAAATCACCTTTAATGCTCTAATAAAAAGTTTTCATCAAGCAATTTTACTATATAAACTACTCTCCTCTAATTCTCAACTCTGACTCTAGCCCTAATATAAACAAACTTTAAAGAATTTTTGCTGTTCTCAAAGCAATTAACAAAAAAGCTAGACTTCAAAAGATGACACACTAGAGTGAGAAGTTAGTACCAGTATATGATGACACCAAGCAATACATTAGCAAAAAAAGAAACACCACTAATTGATGACAATGCCAAAAAATGATAATACCACCTTTTGCCCTACTGATTATGTACTTGGAACCCATGATTACTTATATTCCATTACGAACTATCACTCATCAACTCGACACTTTGCAATAATATAGGATCACATTTTTAACCAGAAAAGCCTGCTTCTAACAAGTACAACCCATTAAAGGTTAAAGCGACAAGTTAGACATGTGGCCCATAAAGCCATTTGAGAATGCAGTAATGGTCGCTTTGTCACTTAGTTGACAAGCTTTTCACTACTTAAGTAGTCAACTATGCATTATTATACTATATATTCATTCGTAGTACATACATTTGCATAGTATATACATTTATATATTCCTACTAGATACTGGACCCGTTGTTAAACGACAAGTTTTAACATTATTACTTGCAAATATATATAGAAGTGTCAATTATAGCTCAGTAAATCTATATATTTATATATATATATTATATAAGTAAACGATATATAATTATTTTTTTTATTAACTCAAAAATTTATTATTGTAAACTGTAATCTATAATACAAAATTACTTTATGTATTTTAAAGATTTACTGGTTACTATTACTAATTGAGCCAAGCTAATTTTACTTATATTGTAATTGAAGAATTGGACCAAATTTTAATAAACGCAACATAATTAATATATGTCTTATAGCTTTAGCACACACACTATAGTTAGTAAGGAAATGTTAATGATTAATGTGTTTCATACTGAGTCAAGAAACGTAAAGAGTCTGGAGTGTATTTAAACAGCATCACAGAATCAAACGACTGCGCAGCATTATAATGGGATCGATGAAATCAGGCGGCATTATTACGATCATGTAGCACATGATTATCGTGACATTATTTGTGTTATTAGAAGTTTATAATAGTAAAAGTGACACAATTAGGTCAATATAAATAGAAAGAGTAGATAATGAAAAGGTAGCAAGAATTTGACTGCTAAACTATGATAACGATAAACAACGTAAAAGATACTTACTTAGTCGTAAAAGAGTGGTATATAAGTAAAGGTGCAAAGCGAGGCATGTTGAACTAAAACAGTTTAAGAAACATAACAGCAATATCAGTTACTGCAAAACTCTGAGAAAATATAATTCACAAAGATATTAGTAGGCGCTTTTACATTAAATTTATATTACAACTTAAAACAGCAAACTTTTCAAAATTCCTCATAACATTTTTATTAATAACGTCTTTATAAAACTAAAATGCCCATTAAAATTGATTAATATAGCTAAAATAATCATATGAATTGATCGCAAAAAACTGAGGTAATTATAAAAAATTGTCATATTTTCTTAAGAACACTTGAAATATTATAAATTAAGTTTTTATTGTTAATAAAAATATCTATTATATGGTGAAGTTTTATATTGTCGCCTGCTGCTCTGTATTTGTAGATATTTGTCTAAAAACTTCTTGATATATAACATTCTTAGTGCATTCTAGGAATCCTGACTATCTAAGAAAGATGTGTAATCTATAGCATAAAATGACTCTTAAGCAGGTGACATATAACTGTCCATGTGTAAAAACAGGAGTCAGGATGTAGAGACCAAGCCAATTTATAGTTTGCTTCTAGGATTTGTGGATAGACATTGCAAAAGCAAGTTGGCATGGAAATTGACGCCGTTTCAAAGCAAAAGGTATTGATGTATTCATTGGTGAAATCATTATATGGGGCAAAAAAACTCTTTTTCTAGCTGAAGGTCTACTTACAGATTCTGCTTCAATAACATGCTGTTTAAGTGCTCTGACGATTAATCTAGTTTTATTGCAGAGATTGAGAGTTGTGTTGATATTTCATAATAATATAATAGGCACACCAATTTTCAGAGTTAAAGCATATGATGGCAAACCGCTAAATTTTAGTGAATTAAGAAACTCTGTTGGATAAAGTCTCTCTTGAATAGGGTCGTATATTTCAGAGTTTTGATCTACAGCATCAGCGCTATAATACATTATTTCTTCTCTATGAAATTTTGCAAATACCTCTGCATTCAAAGCATTGACTTTCTCATTTCTCAGAGCAAGTATTACTCGTTTGGTCAGGTAAGCTGCGTCTTGAAATTGTATCTGCAGCTCAGGATATATGAAACTAATTAGTTCCTGGGAACAATCACTTTTAAGTATAATATCAGATGGTAAAGGAATGAAATCACTGTCTCGTTCAATTTCAGGAATTCGTCCTTCACCAAGTTGTAGCAGCCAGTCTGCAAATTTCTTTTGCGCATCTGCATTAAAAGAACTAGCAATTGTTTGTAAGTGCATATTGATAGTTAAGTTTTTCACTCTAACGAATTGCTATAGATAAGATCAACACAGACAGCACCAACAACATCTTCTCGTCCACCTTTGGGAACTACTGGAAGGATTTGCCTAAAATCGCCACCTAATACAAAAACTTTTCTACCAAAAGGTTCATCATTACCCATAATATATCGCAACGTACGGTCTATGGCTTCAAATGCATGCCAATGCATCATTGAAGCTTCGTCCCAGATGATAAGCATTGTTTGTCAGAGAAGTTCTGCAAGTTCTGATTGAACCGCTATGTTGCATGTAGAATCCTCAGTAGGGTTAATAGGAATCTTAAATCGAGAGTGTACTGTTCGTCCACTATCAAGTAGTAAGGCAGCAATCCCGGATGACGCAACAGCTATTGCAATTTTCCCTTGAGAGCGCACTTTTGCTAACAAAACTGAATAGAGAAACGTCTTTCCAGTGCCAGCCAGTCCATCTATAAAAAAATATGCAGCTTTATTTCGCTCAACTGCTTATAAGATATTGATATAAATATTTCTTTGGTCACTGTTTAAAAGTCTTTCATTTTGACTAACAAAATCTGTAAGGGATTGTTGATCATAGGTTAACTCTTCGGCTATTAAGGAATTGTCTAAGTCAATAGTTATAGTAGAAGTTGGCATATTAGGAAAATCGTTTAAAGATTTTCTATATTGCATAAGAATTTCGTCTATTAGATATAAAGTTCAATTTTCAATCACATCTTCTGATAGCTGAAGAAATGGATTCCCAGTCGTTAGTCAAGCCTTAAAAAGTATATCATCACTAAGTGCACTTTTATGCTTTGTCCAAAGGCATTCAGGCTCTGTTGGATGGCAATTGACAAAATTGTAGCAAAAAGAAGTCATAATTGCTCTCCAGTTTGTATACTTGTCACTTCTTGCAAACATTGATCCCATTTCAGGTCGTCCTGAAGTAAGTTCAATGTGTGGCAAGCTGTGTTAAAAGTTGCGCATTCTATGCTGTTTACAGTACGAAGATGCTTAAATGATTGTGCGCCGTGTACTATATTAAGGAGCATGCATAAATAAAATGCTCACCTGCTCCCAGTGCACGAAATAAAGACGCCTGATAGCATTTCTATGTTTATGTAATTTCCACTTCTTTGCTTGCTTATCAAAAACAAATATGCGTAGAAATTGTGCGTATGTATATTCTCTGGCCAAAACTCCTAATGAAGAATCACTGTTTGCTTGAAACCATGCAGTCAAAGTCGTTTGCTGATCATTTGCCCTTTGTAAAATAAGTTCTGGTGATTCATCATCAAAAAAAGTTACCATGCATTGTTTAGGTAGATGTACATTTAATCGAATAACATCAGGTGCCTCATTATGCATTTTATAATGCATAATACACCAACATGCCTCTGATGCAGATACATAGCGAGCATCTATGTATTGTCGAATTTCATCAGGCACATTTGAGCTTGTATTTATATCACGATTGTTGCTGTTTATTACAGTTGCATGGTCATGCCCTTTGTAAACATACTTGAATAAATACTTTACAGCCAGAATAGAAGAGCAAATTCGACGTTAATATGACAATTATACTTCTTACAAAGATACAAATTGTGGAGAACAACCCAATGATTGTCAAGTTGAGCACCTCTAACTTCAACAGTGCGTCCATTATTATTTCGTCGATATATAGGATATCCGTCCTCATTTTCACAAGACACATTTTGAAATGGTTTTGGATAACCTTTTGAACATTGTCCGTCTTTCATGCATGGCGTACAAATATTTTGATCACCACATGGCCCATGCATCATGCATTTAACTATAGTGTCATATTCAGCTGGAAAATTATCTGGATTGGGTATTTCTGCAGACACTATAAGATCATAATCATCCGTAATACGTGGTTTGTCTTCGTCTGCAAGCATTATTAACATGTGTGCATGCAAAAGGCCACGCATTTGAGCCTCAATAACATAAATATAGACAATTACTTTACCAAATATTCCTTTCTTTAGAATGTCGTCAAGCAGTGTGTTCAACTTCATATGAAAAACACGTGTGCATAGGTCAGGACGGTAATATGCATATTGTCCAGGCAATAAAGCTGACTAGATTTCAGTCTATTGTGGATTACATGTCATCGTTATAAATAAATCCAGTTTTTTAGCAAACCCAACAATGGTCATAGCATCTTGATAGAGTTGATACATATGCTATAGTCCACTAATGAAGCTTGACAGAAGAACAATTCTTTGTCCAATACGAATCCTGTTTTGCTGTCCAATGCAATCACCGTTTTGTGGAATTTCATCGTTGGAGGTAAGTACAGTAATCCATTATATAATTCCGCTCAAATTTTTTTTTGATTTAACTTAATATAATTTAGTCGATTTTGTTCAATACATGCATAATTGTCTACAATAAATTGCTAAAACAAACAGCCAGATCTATGCAATGAAAATGATTCTAGAGGACTGTATCCTATAACTTGTAATTGGTATGCATAGTATTGTATCATTTTTACACATTTAGAGTTTTCAGCTTCATTATAGTCTTCAGAGATATCTAAATCTTCAGTATTAACTTTAACTTGTTCGTCTGTTATATCGCATATAGGAATATCAGGATACCATCCAGATTCACTATGCGGAAAGAGCAACACATAATGTAATGGGCTATAAGAAGAATGTGTCTGAGGAATACGTTGTAGACCACCTCCTTGTTTATGAAGAATGTTGTTACGGTTTGCAGGTCCGGATTCGTCACCATTTCCAACCATAAGTACAGCGACTTCTGATGCAGTAGGTATGGCATATTGTCATTCATCACGTGCTTTAATTATAGTCATTTTCAAATCTTGTGCTGGATTATCACGCATCAATTGAGCAGCTTGTTGGAAACTATGAACGTACAGATTCACCTCATGAAGCATTGCTTGGAGCTCAGCCAGTATAGAAGGATCCAAATTTGGCATATGACAATGTCTGTGTAACTGTTGGGCATCTGTATCATATAAATAAATTTGGCAACATTTTGGTTCATTAGGGTCTTCTGGTAGAAGTGAACCAATTTGGTGATACAACTCGCTGTGAATACGAAGAGAATAAACACCACTGGTTCTTGTTACTTTGTTATCTATCTTTGTACCCATCAAAGTAAAAGTGAGAGCTGAATTATACATTCAGATTTTTTTTTGAAAATCGCGAGAACGTGCATTATTTTTAGTTAATAAAAAATGCAAATTTGGTAAAGTTGGAGCTAATGGTTGCAAATACACTTTTCCTTTTGCACAGCAGGTGCTAAAGACTGGCTTCTTGACAGTTCTGCCAACCTTTTCATCCTTCCAATGCAAAGCATCACATTGTCTACATTCAACATTCATAAAGCCCAGGTTATGCAATGAAACAACACTATTATCATAATGTTCCATACAGGCTATATTAGACGCACGCTGATTTGTTTTTCTGCGCTTTATTCTTCGTGATTCAGCATGCTCAAGGGTTTCAACTGAAATTCAGCATGCATAGGCTTCTCGATCATTTATACATTGCTGTTGAATCTGTTGTGTAGTAAGAGTAGAATTGCACTACGCATATGCTTCTCTTTTTAGCTGATTTTTATGATCACATGTACTTTCTATGTTTTCAACTGCTGACTTTCTAACATTTTGTGCCATTTTTAGCACATAACGCTCTCTAGCTAGGCAGTTTTGATGCTCTCTTGCAGTTTCAGAAAGTTGTAACACATCGTCAGCTGTTTCTTTTGCAACAAATTTTATTTCGGTCATCTCAACAGGCATTTCGCTTGCATTTAATTCAGTTAATATACACGACAAATTACTGGTTAAACCTATTTCAGTCAGTTTAAAAGACATATTAATGGCTGTACCCAATTTGGTCAATTCGAAAGATATGTTATTGGTTGTATTTGTTCCAGTCATAGCAAAAAATTATCAATTAGTAGTTTTTTAGTTATTTCAATTATTGTTAGAAAAAAGAGTGAAAAGAAATGAAAACGCATACAAAAAATCATGTGAACAAAAAACCTATTTATATGCCCTATATATATGCACAAAAAAATGCACAAACTGAGCAGAGTTTAATAAAATCGATAATATGTTAGTCCAAAATCTTTATATTAACGTGAAATTCACAGCTTCAAAAAAGCATTTACTCATATTATTAAAAGGGATCTGTATCATTGTTAATAAATAACTATTCATAAATTTTTTTTAAAAAACATTGACAATAGAGTATATTTTATGATCGTGCTATACAAAAAATTTCAAAGAAATTTTTATATACGCATAAATTTTTGTCGTTAGGACGTCGGTAATTAGCCAGGAGTGACTGTCTAAAATAAGGAAATGATGATCACGATCATGCATATTTAGTTTAGCCAATCAAATTGTAAATATTTATCTATAATACAAAAAACACGTATTGATTAGACAATAAAATAGTAAGTTTTTATAAAACGAAAAGCAAAAAAATTTAATTAAAATTTATAGTAAGAGTTCAAAAAAAAATGCTACTAATATTATTGTCAGCATGTAATTATTAGATTAAATCGAGATTATTGATTTTTCAATAGTATTTATTTACTAAAACCTCAATAATAATCTCTATATGTTTAACTATACGTCTAATTCAACGTCTGATTTTACATCTAATTTCATATCTAAGTCTACGTCTAACCATATTTCTAGTATTTTATATACTATACTAACATTACGCAACTATTATCCTAATAAGAAACATTTGCGCTGTTAATACACATCATAACTTCTCATCGTATCTTCAAAGCACCTATAATGCTAATATTAATAAACCATATAGTTAACTAATTTTATTCGTATTTTTCAACCATTTAAAAGATTTCTATGTAATACATAGTATAAAAAATACAAACTAATTTTTCCATTTACAATACTATCATTAAACGTTATTTTAGGTATTTTTTTTATGTTTTTTTTTTCCTCAACGAAAGAGAATTTCCTGACGCAGTGTTTGTTATTTACTTATAACTTTGGAAGGTAAGTTGTAATATGAAGGATGTGCGATTAAAAGGGATAAAACAAATATTGTTAAAGTACAGCACGAATACGTCAAGTTTACTTAGAGAACTTGAAATGCTTTAAAGATGAGATAATCTACCTGTGCAACAGAAAAATTATTGTACGGCGTATAAAAAAAAATTTCAATAAATTGAATCGCTTATGTAACGATCTGCAAACTCAGGACATACTCGGGACGTTCACCCCTGTTCTGTTTTCGTTAGAGCATCGATCATTAGCATGGCGGCAATTGTGTTACAAAAAATAGCGATCATTTGTAAATACTGTTTTAGGCAATCACGTGATGCGAGACCAATGCAACATCAAAAATTTTGTATTATAGATTCGTGTATTATAAAAGTCACTCAGACCATGAGATGCGAGAGAAGTTTTTTAATAAATCAATTATACTGAAACTGAAGAATAACTCAACAAAGCTTGATGAGTTTTTTGATTTATTGGCTTTTATTGTCGATGATATAAGACCCTAAAGAGTATATTTGTTTTTATGTTATACATAATTTTAGATTTTAATTCGGCCTAATAGCAAATTTTCGTCATGCTAATGAGGCCAAGAATGTTTATATGCATAACGGAAATTTGAAAGTGCTTTTTCGATTATCATTCAAGTTGACGTAAGTCAACAGATCGAAAAGACTGCTAAGCAGTGATGCACTAGCAAGCGACGATCACATGAGTGATCCCGTTTCTAACAAGAGAATCTGGTATATGCATGGAGAAGTAAGTATAAATTTAATAAAGTTACTAATTTAGGAGCTTATGGCGCGAATACTAATATATCCAAATTTAACAGAGAATGGATATAAAATAGAAGAGCACGACAGCAGCCCTTTCAAGAGGCAAATCAATTTCGCACCCTGCCTCACGTAGAATCCTGCCATTTTGTGGCAGCTTAAACATCTTTTTACAGCTGGCCTGCGTTATGCAGGTGGGAAACCACCGGCTAAGATCACATGACTACAAAGCTTCTGGCTAACACCGGCCTGCACTTGTGTGGGTGGAAAACACTGGCTAATGCCAATTATACATCAAACGCACTGATGTATACTATATATTTCTGTCAACTATACATCAATCGCACTGATGTATGCTATATATCTCTTTCAATTATACATCAAAAAGCACTGATGTATGTTATATATCTCTTCAACTATACATCAAATGCACTGATGTATGCTATAACTCTCTAATAAAGTTTGAATATCTAGCGCTATTAGTGCTAGAATGCATCAAACAATTATATCATATGTGTGCAGTTCTTTTTGTTGAAACTTACATTAAATCAAATCATGCAAGAAAACCTGTGTAGGTCAAAATAGAGATGCAGATAAATCTGCACATCAATATAAGAAAGTGATTAAATGCACTAAAAATACATGGTTGATCTTTTCAGTTAAAAAATAACCAATAATGATACTGTAGCCGTTAAGAGATCTAAGAAATGTAAAGTTGTATATTTTGTTAATGAATTATGCAGAAAAATACATATAGGTAACTTAGCATTATATATTTAATATCTTTAACCAAAATTATTGTTGTTTATGTGTCAATCAAGTTTCTCAGTCTCACATTGATAAAATAACGAGTTTGGCCAAAAATGTAAAGTGTTGCACTCGTGTGAATAAAATTTTCAATCCTGGTTGCTAATCTAAAATTTTTTAAAAAATACTTGCTTAAATATCAGATTACGTATCTAAAAATATATAAAGATAAATTAGCACTGTGTGCTTAGCGATTTCAACAAAGGCTACAGTATGATTGTCAACCCATCCTGTTTAGAGTCTCACAGTGAAAACTGATTGATAAAATTTGCTATTTTTAGTGCTTATAATGATTTTTTGACTTGTATATCATATCAGAGGATCTGTAGATCACCCCAAAAATTTTGGCGCACCTAAATTTAACTTCATAATAGTGCATCGGTAACTGACACTGAGATCAACCAATTAAATTTAAAGGTTTATATATCGATTTTAGAAACACCAAAATCAGTTACATAATCAGGTATTTTAAAATTTGATTACAGGTTAATACTAAATGCATAATCAACAAGCAAGAGTAAAAAATGCAATTATGCGAAATTCAAAATTTATTAATTTTCTATCCTATTAATAAAATTTAAGCGACTTTTATTTTCTAGTACTTTTTTTTTTTTTGAAAAAAGATATATTCAATACAATTAGTTATTTAGGCAATAAAATATATTTTTATTTCGTTCATTTTATGTTTTTGTAAGACTTTGCATGCTTTGGTTTGAATCAATATAAATTTGAATTAATATTTTCAATATTTTTTAACATTAAACGTATGCTATTGCGAAAGATCAAGGCTTTTAAAGAATGTATTTGAAGATAACTATATGTCAATAACTTTTATGTGAATAAAGCGATTCCTTTTAGTATAGGTGGGTATATATAAATTATTACAAAATTATAATATATAAAACTTAACTAATTTGAGCCAATTTAAATTTTAACCTTAACTCTAACCTCTAATAATTTATAAAATTACTTAAATTAGTTCAAAATGGTTAAGTTATATATATTATAAATAAAAAAATACTTATACAGTCAAACCTCTCTATAATCACACCCTTGGTTTTAAGAATTTGGTGCTTATAAAGAGTTTGTGCTTATATAGAGGTTAAATTTTATAAGTGCTATATAAGTTAGTTTTAAAATTTTATATAATTATAAGAAAATGTGACTAAAGAGAAGGTGACCATAGAGAGATCTGACTGTATATGCACACCTATATTAAAGATCAACCAAATAAGATATAATTACACCTTATGAAAATAAAAGATTTTTTTAATTTTCAAAAATTTCTAACACATTTTCAGATTCTTAACCACTTAAACTATATATTATATTTATAAATAGATAAATTTATTTCAATTAGTATTAATATATAGCTTCTATAATAAGAAAATAATTTAAATTTTGTAATTTCGTTGAATCTAAATTATTATAATTTTATTCTTTTTTTAGCAAAATAATGAAAATAAAATCAATAAATATTTCTTTTGAAAAAATAAAATATTTATGTTTTTTCTGAAGTATATAGAAAAATATAATATCAGAAACATAAATTAGTATGATAGGATGTACAGTCGTAAAAGAAAAAATTTAGCAAACTAAAATTACTTTTTCTACTACCTAATATGAAAAAAGAACAATATCAGTGCTTATCCTAACTTTAGATATAACTTAAGACCCAGTAGATAATATAAATATTATAAAATTAGCATGTATATTGACATTCTAATGATCTTTAGAATAAATATACATGTGATACAAAATTGTTTTGCATATACAGCATTCAAAATTTTAATTGAGTAGTTAGATTTTTTTTAATTTAAATAAATGCTTGATTTCTAAGACTTTTTTGAAATATTTTACTTTTTAGATAGATTCAAGTTCTTTAATTAACTTTCAAATTAGTTAAAGCATAAGGTATTATAAAACTATGTTGAGATTAAACCTATCAGTAACTTATCAAGTACAAAATAACTTGTAACTATAATAGTTATTTATATACTAATCTGTTATCTATTTTAAAATTTGAAAATTAGTGTATATTAACAATAGACTTTCAAAACTTGCATTCCTTTCCAAAATAATACAAAATTTTAATTAATAAAAATTAGCCAAAAATAAAAATATTAATAAAATAATTTATCTTTATATTAGAGATTATTATCAATATAAAATTAGAAAAAACATCTTTAGAATAGATCTAGGATTCACATATTTATTATAAACATAATTTTATATAACCTTAAAAAAATTACTTGTACATAGTGTTTACACTAAATTTGTAAACCTTTAGATTTAATACTAATTTAAAATTTCACTATGAAT